TGCTGAAGGATATTTAGCAGAAGAGTGTATAACATTTTGTTCTCATTATTTGGAAGATGTTGAAATGAGATTTAATAGACTATCGAGAAATGTTGGTATGCAACATATTGACTTTGCCTACAGTTATCTTTTTCAAGGTTTTGGACAACCAATAGGCAAAGCTGAAATGGTAGAGTTAGATGATAAATCTTAGGCACAAGCACATCGATATATTTTTTTCCATCATGACTCTATTGAATCGTTTCGCATGTAAGTTTTTTAGCAAGGAAATTATTCATTACATTAAGTATAATTTATTGTAATTGTTTTTATTGTTAATATTTTATCATGATGCTTTGTAGTGAGTATAGAAATAATTTAAGAGCTCCTGCATATTATCGATGATCAAACCCTCGAGAGCTTGATAAGTTATTCACCAAAAACTTTCATGAATGGTTAGGAGCAACTGTAAGTAATGCCATACTTCCCATTATGAGAAATCTACATATAATGCTTATGGTATAACTAACATTAATAACATATATATATTTATTCCATTTTTATAAGTTTGGAGTGGAAGGTTTGTTAGTGAAGAGGTGAAGTGTCTTTCACAAGGTCCAAATAGGATTGTGAAATGATACAAAGGTTTCATCATCAATGGATTTAGATTTCACATTAAATCCCATGAGAGATTTAAAAGTACAAAAAATTCAGGAGTTGTTGTTACTTCATCAACTACTAGCTATGCTAGTGCTAAGGACATAAACCCTTTAGATGGAAATGTTAACTATTATGGCATGATTAATGACATTATTGAGTTGGATTACTATGGCCAGTGAAAAGTTGTCTTATTTCAGTGTGATTGGGCTGATGTGAATAGTGCGAGGGGTATTAAGAAAAATTAGTATGGATTTACACTTGTGAATTTTTCTTGATTAATTCACACTAGACAATAATTCATTGATGAACCTTATGTTTTTTCATCTCAAGTCAAACAAGTTTTTATTCTGAAGATCCCAAAGAATTGGGTTGGTTTGTTGTTATTCGAAACACACCTAGAGACTTATTTGATATGGGGTTAGATACAAGAGATGATATTGAACATGGAACTGAATGTTATCCTTTTGCAGAACAAAACTTGGATGAAAATATCTTTAGTACCTACACTCAGTGGGTCCACGAAGATGTTAATGAAGACATTTATGAACCATGATGGATCATCTATATTTTGTAATTCGAGTGCTTAAGACATGATGTAATAAATGATATGTATGAAAAAGTTGTCGCATTCGCTATTGTATATTTATTGTATTGTAAATCATATATTATCTTTTGATTTAATTAAATTGATATGTTATTTATATATCGTAGGTTATAATTTCTTAACTTTTCAATGACTTTTATATATGTTCTAAACTAATATATTTTATATATTCACTTTTATAATGCAGGTAAGCTATAATGTGGATGAGTAGAGTGAAAGGAATACATATAAGAGATATTAGTTTAGAATCGTCTGCGGCACTTGTTGATATTGGCTATGGACTAAATCTTTTAAAAAGGAATAAACGTACTATCGGATCTAACTCAGTCATTTCTAATCCTTCAACTGATATTGGATCTGACAATATGAGAGGTCCAGGTTTAGATAGTATCCCATCAATTGATTATGCTTTAAATTTGAATGTAGGTATTATATACCCCATATTTAGAATTTGATTATAATGATAAAAGTATTGCCATTTTACAAATTTATTTTTTATTTTTTACAGTCGATAACAATGGTCAACGGAGGACTAGAAGCTGGACAACTTTGAAGGAATTGTTTGCACTACCTTCGAACGAGCGTATTGTAGTGTCTGCAAACTTTGATAGGCAATGAATTAGTGAAGAGGCTCAACTATTGGCTGGATTTCTAGGCATGTTTGCCCATAATGGAATGAAATTGCCTATTCATTATGAAACATGGCACAAAGTTCCAGCAGAAGTTAAGGCTGATGCTTTAAACTTTATTGAGGTATTAGTATAATTAATTACATATAAAAAAATTAATTATTTTAAATTTGGTTTATTGATTAAAACTTTTCTTTTTGTATTATTACAATCAAGATTTGTACTTGAAATACCAACTTTATTTGTGCTTAAGTCATTGGGAAAGAAATGGAAAGATTATAAGCATAATTTGAAGAATAAGTATTTCGATCGAAATACTACTGTTGAGGCGATGATGAAAAATCTACCTCGTAATGTAATTAGGTGATAATATGAACAATTAGTTAGATTTTGGTTCTCAAGAAAATGATAGGTACTAATTTATAACTTTGTATAGTAGAATGAAATAATGAAAGTTTTTATACTTTAAGTTGGTAATATTTGTATTTCTACCATATATGCAATTATTTTGTATGATAGGAAAGAGAACAGATTGGGATTGGTAGCAAAAAGCAATAGAAATATAGCCACACAAGTGGATCAAAAAGTTTTGCAAGAAAGCAAAAGGAAATAGTAAGTTTATGATTTTAAACTTATTCCAATGAATGAACTTTTTGTGCCGTTGAAAAGGTAAATATGCAAATTAATAGTTATTGTTCTATTTTAATAGTTTTGATAGTTTCAATACATGATATTAAACTTATCGAAAGTTTTAAACTTAGTTGACACAGATGATATGTATGAAAAAGTTATTGTTTATGTCTATTTAGGTAAAAATACAAATTTTTTGTTGTTGTTCTATTTAAACAGTTTGGATAGCTTTAATACTTGATATTAAACTTGTCCGATTGATTGAACTTGGTTTCTACAATTGATATGGGTGAAAAAGTTGTCGTTTATGTCTATTTGGGACTATTTTTGTCTTTAAAGGCATAAATTTAAAGGCAAAAATAGAAATTAAACTTTTGAATGGCTTTCAACAGTTTGAATGGCTTCAATCCATGATATTAAACTTGTCCAAATAATTGAATTTGGTTGCCATGATCGATATGTGTGAAAGGCTAAAATTCTTTTATTATTTGCATCTATTTTAAGACTATTATGTTATTAAGGGGCCAAAATATCAATACATGATATTAAAATTATTTGAAATTTTTGAACTTGATTGACAAGCTTGATATGCATGAATAAGTTGCGGTTGATATGTATCCTATATAAAAATATATGTTTTTCTATAGGAGATTGAGATTGACGGTAAAATTGGACGTGTGAAACTTTTTCACTTAACACACACAAAAAAAGATGGATTTTACATGAATGTCGAAACACAAAAAATTGTGGTAATTTGTAACATCTATTTTAACAGAAAGTAAATATTTACTCTTTTTAACATATTATCAATTAATCATTAAATTTGATAATTGTATATGACTAATTTACAGAAAAAAGCTAAAGAAAAAAATGGTTACTGAGATTGAAGTGGCATCTGATGGTTTTTTCAACATACAAGAATTAGAAAATTGAATATTCATAAAAGTTGTTGGAAAAGAAAGGCATGGATGGGTCCGAGGCCTTGGATTGGGTCTAACACCATCTACCTATTATGGACGTAGCTCTTAGCAATTTACATTCTCAGTAAGTCAATCTTCGCGAGACATTTCGATATTGAGAGAGGAGTTGCAAGCTATGCAACAATATTTAAAGCAAATGGAAGCAGAAAGAGAACATGAGTGTGCCAAAATTGAGGAAGAACGTGCTAGAATGGAGCAAGAGCATGCAAAATTTTAGCAGTTACATGATCAATTCAATTATCTTATGAATTTTATGCAATAACAATTTTCAGGAACTTATCTCGGTGGTCCACCAACTTAGGTATTATATTTAGTAAATATTTATCTTTTTTAATATAAAAAAAGCTTACAATGAAGTGTTAAAAATTGTATGCTATTATTCAATAGGTTTTTTAGCACATTAGTGACCAAGGTGGAAAATTTTCTTCATCAATTGGCAACCTTCAAAATCTATGCAGTCATCAATTTTATACATTTTAATTTTTATTTTGTTAATGTATTAAAAACATTTGAATGTTATTATACTAATTATTAAATTTTGTATTAATTAGATGCATATTTGAACGTGAATTAAGTTTATATTAATTTCAGTTTCTAAATTTAAGTTCGTTTGTGAAGATAATTAATATTTACAGAAATTTTTTATTCAAAAAAATACATTTTTAATTTTGTAGTGTTTATGTTCAAGAATGTCGCTAAATGAATAATTTAATGATGTTTGTACCATAAAACGCCACTAAAAGTAATAGCGCTTTTACTAGAAAATACGTTAAATTAGCGGTATTTTTTTTATATAAATGCTACCAAAGTAACGATTTTTTTTTGATAAAAATGTCACTAAATTAGCGATATCTCAAAGATACAAACGTCGCTAAAATAGCGACGTTTTCTAGATACAAAACACCGTTAATATAACGGCGTTTTCTAATTCAAATGCCGCTAATATAACGGTGTTTTTCACATACAAATGCCGCTAATATAACAATGTTTTATAAAAAACGTCGTTATTTTTTACGATGCGTGTATAACCGTTACTTTGACTAGCGTTTTTTACAAACATCATAAATCTTTTAGTGACGTTTATAAAACGTCGCTAAACGTTAAAAAAAATGCCACTAAAAAGTTAAACATTTATAGTGTTTGGACAAAATTTACATAAAGTTATTTAATTGAAGTTTGTGAAATTTTTTTTAAATGATTTAATAAAAATTTTAATAAAAAATTTCAAAATGATAGATTGATAAAATTTAATATGAAGATTAATAACATATAAAATATTATTAAAAATATTATTTATAATTCAAATTTGATCGATATTCATTTAACAAAAAAATTTGTCAATACTTTTATTAAAAATATCTATTTAACAAATATATTAAAATTCATTAAAATTTTTTCAAAATTTGTACGCTTGATCAATATAATGAAAATTTTTAATCTATTACTTTTAATTTTCGATTTTAAATTTTATTTATACATTTCTAATAAAGAATTTTATGAATTTTTAAAAAACTTTAAGCAAGTTTTTTCCTTTCTAATTTATCTAAGAAAACGGGCGACCCGACCGGCAATATGGATTACCAGTATCCGCCCCTAGTTGCAGCAAACACAACCAAAGAAGATGGCGTAAGCCCAGAGGCCATACCGTTAAAAGACAAAATCCTGAAAAAACCCAGACACGCTTCAGAGTCCTGAAAAGATTCATTAAATTTTGCCCAACACTTCTTCCTTTCATCTTCTTTTACACTTGAACCTCTTTTTGATCCTTACCCATCTCCCTAATTCTTGGATTGGATATTCTCATAGAAGAAGAAGATAAAATAAAGATGGCGTTTGATGTAGAGTCTTTGGCAGAGGCAACATCGGGAGCCATTGGAGCTCTGGTTAGCACCACCATTTTATACCCTCTCGACACTTGTAAAACCAAGTATCAAGCTGAAGTTAGGGCTCACCATCTACAAAAATACAGGTCCAACGTACACAAAATTTTCTGGATTTGTTTCTTTGCTTTACTATGATTTTTTGTTTTTCAATTTAAAGTTGATTAATTTATGATTGTATGTGAATTTCTTTGAGAATAATGATTTAGGATGATCAAGAATCTTAATTTATGATAATTGGAAAAATTAATTGAAGGTAGGTTTTGTTTCTGAGAAATTTTTTTGAGTTTGATCTGTATTAAATGGTCAAAGGAAGTCAAATCTTTTTATGTTGAGACTTGAGATAGTTGTATGCTTATCTAGCAAACTAAATTAGTCAAATTTATACGAAATTCCGTATAAGCTGTTTGTTTTAGTATTTTTCTTTTCGTACCAATTAAGCTCGATGTGGTGAATTAAGGTTGACTCGTTTGTATGATTGTCTCAGATAAAGAACTTATCAAACGATTTTTTTCCATGTATTGAAAATCAAAATAACTGATATTTTAATATTAATGGAAATGTTATTTCTCAGAACTCATTTTTTTTTCTGTTTCACTTTGGTGGCTATGGTCGTAAAAATCTTGGTATTAAGAGGAATTATCATTGATTCAGTCCAGAAACAAAGGTATGTTTTTGATTTGTGTTGTGTTGACATATGCCATGGCTCGTGCAGGAACATTTCTGATGTTCTGTGGGAAGCAATTTCTACCGGTCAAGTTCTTTCATTATACCAGGGTCTTGGGACAAAAAATCTGCAGTCTTTTATTTCACAGTTTATCTATTTTTATGGATACAGCTTCTTTAAGAGGCTGTACTTGGAGAAAAGTGGATGCAAGGCCATTGGTACAAAAGCAAACTTGATTGTTGCTGCCGCTGCCGGGGCATGTACTGTTATAATTACACAGGTAGTTATGTTTTGAGTATTTAGTTTTCTATGGTCAGAGTACAAATTTCTTTTCTAGGGAGTCTGGCTTGTGTGTATCTTTCATATTATGTTGTGTTAAAGTTCTTTTGGTTGAGCAATTTAAGATCTTTTTATTGTTAGATTCATTAATAGAACTGTGATTACCATGTACGGAACTTGTTCAGGTATTAGCTGGGTAAATATTGCATTTTGCTTTCTTTTGGAAGTTGCAATATTGCTGTCATTGCTTTCTTTGGGAAGTTGGAATTCAAAACTGGTTTGTTTAGAGGAGAGTCATAATTGGAAAAAGAAATTAATTATTGAAAAAGTCAATAATAAATCCAAACCTTCACATTTCTAGAAATCAAAGGGAAAAGTAAAAGGGTAACAGATATCACCCAGAATATATTCATTTGCTACAATAGAGGGGAGTTTTTTTTTCTTAACCTTCACCCCTGTATCCATTGCAGTTCTGTTGCTGACCCTTTTGAAATGAGCATTCCAATTTGTGTTACCATTGGATATTGGAATCTAACTTTAATTTATCAGCCCTTGGATACAGCATCCTCAAGAATGCAGACAAGTGAATTTGGGAAGTCCAAAGGACTTTGGAAGACACTTTCAGAGAGCTCTTGGAGGGAAGCATTTGATGGTCTTGGCATATCTCTTCTCTTGACTTCAAATCCATCTATTCAGGTACTTGACCCTGCTTTAATCAATATTGGTTGTATGAATAGCAAGTCTGTTGAGTGTAGTTGACTTACTGAATGGTTTTGAGATTCTGAAGATCGAATTATGCTAGTATGATTTGGTTTATGAGTTGATGGAACATCTTACCACCCGAGATTCTTAACAATGTGGGGAGTAAGCCCCATCATGGCAAACATGATGTTACAATGTCTTAAAGTTTAGATTTTATATCCTTATTTCTACGCAGCAGCGCCAGTTGACTTTTTGTAGGATGAACTAAGCTGGGAATAAATCTTTTCCTTTTCCATTTTGTGCAGTATACTGCATTTGATCAATTGAAAGAAAGACTACTTAAGGGGCAGCTAAAAGAGAAAACAGGTACACAGTCATCCTCAGAGTCTCTTTCAGCCTTCTCTGCATTTGTACTCGGTGCAGTCTCAAAGTGTGTTGCAACGTTCTTGACTTACCCAGCTATAAGGTATTTAGTCAATCGTATCTGGCATCCTCTTTCAGTCAGTACCCTATTATTTCTTTTTTTGTCGGAAATTCATTGATTGAAGTAGTAACTTACATTTTCTTTTGAAATCCAATGAAATTCAAGCTGCATGATGCAGAACCTGATATTCTAGACTAACTTACCTAGTGATTTTGCAGATTTGTTGACAATTTTATGAATGTTGGACAGGTGTAAGGTCATGATTCAAGCTGCAGAATCAGATGATAATGATGAAACAAAGGAAGCTCAATCAATAAATCAAAAGACACTTTCTGGTGCACTCTATTCCATTTGGAAAAGAGAAGGCCTGCTGGGTTTTTACAAAGGATTAGAAGCCCAAATCTTGAAAACTGTCCTAAGCTCGGCATTGCTTCTAATGATAAAGGAGAAGATCTCAAAGACCACATGGGTCTTAATTCTTGTAGTCAGAAGGTATCTTTTTATGACCCAAACCAGATTAAAGAGGGCTTAACGACAGCCAGTAGTGTAGCGTACCATTCATGTAAATACAGAGGCTCCTAAATTCATTTGCCTTAAGGAAGAAATTTTAGCAAATTCTATAATTTTGGTTGGCATTGGAGGCCAACTTTTGTTCCTGCGGATGGAAGATTCATGTTGCAACCGCAATAAGTTTGTTCTATACAGTATAATGGTTTTAGGCTTACCAGCCTGGAAGTAAAATTCTTTTACATTGCTTCAGCTGCTAGCATTGAATTTACTCAATTTTACAACCAAAGATCGAGTTTCTCCTTTCTCTTTCGATCATGCCCTCATATTTTCTGAGCACCCATTTCCCCTGATGTTACAGAAATTTAGGGTGGATAATATCATTCACTACAAGATTACCAATTGATAAACACAGTCAGTAATTTGCTAAGAATGATTTGTTACCGTCACCTAAACAAGAGGGTGAACACATAAACAGCATTACAGTACAGTACCTGCCTACCAAGAAAATAAGTAGGTTGGGGAAACGAAAAAAAGTTGAAATGAACAATTTCATACATTTGCTAAAACAATTTCTTAACGCTTTTGCATGTCAAGATTGTGCATCTTAAATAACAGGTAAAAAGTACAATAAAGGCTACTAAACTAAACAATTGTTTAGTCGATCAATGTGTAGGAAATTCTTAACTACATAATATCTAGAGCTCTCTAGACAAGGTTTTTCATCATCTTTCATGGTATTCCTAGAATTCCTAATCAAGGAACTGGAATCAGAATTCAGGTACTAGTCTCTCAATACCCTAACCATCTAATCCGCCGCAAACAATAATGGAACCCTCTACCTATTTTCACAATGCTCTCAAGATCCAAACTTTATTCCAGTATTTTTAGATCATTAAAAAAATAGAATCACTATTGAAATCACAACTGACTAAATCTGAAAAGAATTTTTATAATCTAAAATTACCTTTTGGATTATATTCTCAAGTCAATGAAATTTGGAGATCTCAATTTCAAGGTGTACAAAACATCCTTCCAGACAAACCTTATAAAACTATTTGAATCATTAGCTAAACAAGCTAATGATGAGAAAAAAAAAAAATTAAAAGTCTTGTTTTAGAAGGCATTCTACTACAAAAGTGGGATGAGGAAGAAAGTTTTGAAATTGAGGAGATAAACATTCTTTTTTTATATTTGTAAATATTTTGATGGAAAAACAATCCATCCAATTCGGAAGAAAGGTGGTACTAATATAACAAATCAGGAGCTAATTAGGCATCTTTTAATTCGGAAGATGGAGAGGGATTGAATGCAAAAATGTATATACCTTGAATAAGAAGGGAAATCATTTTTGTTTTCCTTTCTTAAAATCAGATCATTAAAATTGAGAGCCTACAAGTATAGGTTACACTTCATTCACTTTAATAACACAATAAATACACACAAACTGCCACATTGACAGAAGCAAAGTAGAACAAACTGCTTTGAGCCTTTACATCTTAAACCACATCGACAGAAGCAAAGTACAAGCCTACATTGTTGTTTATATCCTTGCACGATATTGATACTATCAATGATATTTTGGTAATATTCTGATAATATTTTAGATTGATATAAAAATTTTCATTTTTTTTTCAAAAACCTAATGGTAAGTATTCAATGAAAAAATGTACAACCAGTTTCTATTATCCTTAATGGAAAAAACTATAATAGGTGAACTACGGCTATATGTAGTTATCTAAAGGGAATAAAATTATGGCTTGTTGTTATTGGAGAACACAAAGCACCAGAAAGAAAAGAAAAAGAATCTGGTGATAAATTTGTAGATCGGCTAGAGGAATGAGAAAGTAAAAATCATTGAATTCTGACATGGTTCACAAACACCAATGTTTTGTTTAGCAATGTACATTTTGGGTAATTTAAACTTGCTAAAGATGCTTAGGATTTTCTTGTCACACGGTATAGCTCTACCATCATTGCTTATCAATATCATATTTTGATCACTTTATCTCGCATTCGTCAAGAATTAGGTAAGTAGATCGATGATTTTCATTATAAAATACAACATTATGGGACATGCTTGAAAATTCCAAGCCAAAATTCAAAGATGAAAGTGATACTAGTAATTTTATTACTTATCGAAATCAAATTCGTCTTATTCAATTTCAAATGGTACTTCGAGATGAATTTGAGAATACTAGGTCTTCATTTGTGAGTCGACATTCCTTACCAACTATGAATAATGCTTTTATGGAATTGATATCTGAGTAAACTCAGTTGGGTATGAGTCAGACTCATACTATTGATACTATTATTGCTGCTACTCCTCATAAAAGTACTAGCTTGACTTTTCATAAGTCTTGTTCATAATGTGAAATGACTAATCATCCCATTCAGAAATGTAGAGCTAAATATCATTATAATAGTAGTCTAATTCATGATTCTTGTGCAAACAAGACTGTTGCAATAACAACCACTAAACCAAACACTTTTGAGTCTTCTTTTGAGACCATTACAATCTCCACCACTGATCTTCAAACTTTATTCAAAAGCAAGATACTTGTACCTAATGGTCCAATAATTAAAACAACAAATGGATTTGTCTTAAAAGCTAGCCACATTGGTAATATTTAAACTTCAAAACTATGTATATCTGACATTTTTCTTGTTCTTAATCTTGCATTAAATTTGCTTTTTGTTGGCCAACTTTGTGACCTTGGTCTTGATTTGCATTTTTCACAATGATATGGCTGTATTATACAGGATCATCAAATAGGTCAAAAAGTTGGGACAGGGCGTAAGGTTGGAACACTGTTTGGGCTTGAAACTTTGAAAACTCCACAACATTTGCTTATTGTTACTACATCTTAAACAACCAATTCTTCAGTTTTTTTAGATTTATGGTATTCTAGGCTAAGATATGCATCTATTTCTTGAATAAAGTCACTTGTTTCCACTGGTCTCTTAGGTAATGTTTCTCGTGATATTTTTTATTGTTTGTCTTGTCAACTTGGAAAGCAAAGTGCTTTATCTTTTAATAAAAGTGATTCTATCTCATCTGCTCTTTTTGATTTAATCCATTATGATATTTGGAGTCCATCTCTCACATCAGCCTTAGGAGGTTCACGTTACTTTGTTATATTTATTGATAATTTCTCTCGTTATACTTAGATATATTTTTTTAAACAAAAAACTAAACTTTTATCCATTTTTCGTGAATTTAATAACATGATACAAACTCAATTTTCTAGAATATTACTAGAATAAATCATCAATATGGAATATTACCAAAATATTACTAAAATATCATTGACAGATACATTCACTAAAAGATTAATGTGTATTTATATAGACAATCAGTTTTACTGTGAAAATATGGCATATCCATTGACACACAAGCAAATCAATTATATCATATGATAAAAATGATATGCTTTAATACAATTGTGGTGAATTTGAATAATTTGAATAAATCTAATTAAAATTTGATCAGATTTAAACACTTAAAAATGCAATTTTAATAGTATTTTAATAGAAAACTTATAAACATATTCTCTACTATTTTAAATATAAATCATATGAAAATTTCAACTTTTAGAAATAAAATAAAATTTTATTTTAAAAAATATTCTATTTGTTTACACCATAAATTTTCCATCCATTGGATTTTTGATAACTGGCATTTGGTGGTAATTTTATGGGCCTAAGATCCTACCATTTACTAAAATTCAGTTTCGAAAATCAAGGGGAGTTAAAAATATAAGGTTTGATCTAGGCAAAAATGGTTATCAATGTGGTTGAAATATCTACATTTTAGCAATTACTCTTGATTTTCTACTCATAATCCATAGTTATCAAAGAGAACATCCAACAATACAATAAGTTTTGGTCATTTTAAACCAAAACTTAACCAAGTGACACCACATTTACCTTCATTTTTATTGTTATTTTTATTTTTATTTTTATTATCTTTTATCTTTTCTTGGTTTTTGTTCTTTTGTTCTTTCTTCTTTTTCCTTTCTATTCTTTCCATTTTAATAAATAATTTATTGTTTTAATTTTTAAAGTAGAATCTATTTGATATTATTGATTAAAAAAATATTTTTCTTTTATTTCGTAGTTCTTTATATTTTTTGTTTTTATTTTTTAATTAATTTTTAAAAAAGGCTTATAGATGGTTCCATGTTGCATTCAAATATTTTACTATTTATTTAATTTTATATTTATATATTGTAATAATAAAATTTATTTTTAATACATTAATTTAATAAAAATATTATATTTATATAATTAGATGTAATTTATATTAAAAATTATATATATTAATTAATATTATATTAAATTAAAATTATTGAATTGATTTTTAGTTAAGTTGGTTCATATGCATGTTACATAAATATGTACCGGTTGGAGTTGAAATTAATTAGAATTATTAATGAATTCGGTTAATGTGTGGGTAAGTTTAAACCTTCTTTGATCTAACAAGTTGTCATTTTTAAATGGTGGTATCCACGTGGCACCCTCATTTTACTTCTTTTTTTTGGCCCATTTTTTTTCTTTTTTTTTTAGTTTTAGTTTTCTTTTGTTCTTTTTTATTAAAAAATTTTAATTGTCTATTTTAATATTTCTTAATTATATTTGGATTATTTTTGAAATTTTTTATAGGATTTGTTTGATATTATTGATTAAAAATATCTTTTTCTTTTTTCAATCATTTCTCTTTTTCCTTTTTTAATTAAGGTATTTTTTAAAAAAAGACTACTAATGAAGGTGTTAACGTGACACTTGAATTTGGCTTTCTTTTGGTCTTTTTTTTGTTTTTTTTTTTTTTAAATTTATACATTAAATTTTATAAAAAAATGTGGCTAATGAAAGTATCCACGTTACATTACCATTTGGCTTATTTCCTTCTTTTTTTTTTTAATTAGATAAGTTTTGTAAAAAAAAAAAAAGAATCGAAGGAGATTTGAATAATAAAATAATCTATTTTTGATGGGTTTTGATTTATTCCTATCCAGTTGGTGCAATTTTTTTAAAATTGAGATTCGATGAGGCAAAATGATTTTTTCTTTTTGAAAATCATGGTCTATTTTGATGCAGATTTAGGATATATATTTTATCATTTATTTGAGTATATAAAATATATATTTTATCATTTATTTAATTTTATGTTTATATATGTATTATATTAATAAATTTATTTTTAAATACTTTAATTTAATAAAATATTATATTTATATATAATTAAGATATTATATATTAAAAAATTATATTCTTTATAAACATTGTACTAAATCAAAATTATTGAATTAGTTTT